ATGTCAATATAGTATTGAGAGGAATTTTATAATCAAATCTAATAATGATTAAAAAATAAATTTTTGATTAAAGTTAATATTAATATATAAAAAGAAGTAATTTCATAGGAAAATAAAAGTCAGAAGATTCTAAACGTTTATGTACCAAGTGTCTAGTGTATGCACGTACGTTACAGTGGTGTTCCAGATTCGCAAGTTGCAAAACACCGACAAAGCAGGAGGAGAGACAGATAATAGAAAATCATCGTCATAAACAACTTCTTTTCTTGGTTTCATCTTATAGACAATTAAAGGATTCAAAAGACAACATCCTTTTTAAAGTTTCTTGTCTCGAAAGATTACTAAAGGTAAAAGTGGTGGATGGGGTTAATTGAATTTATTTTTCCCATGTCACTTCATGATTTTGTCGTTATCTTCTTATTCATTTACTCTTCACCATTTTGTTGTATTCTACCTATCCGACATTTCTTATATTTTAATCCTACTTGCTTTATCTACAGCAAATGACGCATGCAGACCATTAATTTTGAGGCATCTTAAAAATATTATATTCCGATAATAAATTATATTTCTTTTTTATTGTCTAAAAATATACTGTAGACTGTATCAGACTATTAATCTTTAGCAACTAAATTGCTTTACTGCATCCCATACACACATATCAAGTGAGAGTGTGTGTTTAAGCATCTCTTGATTGAAATTACATATATTTCAATGGTATCACACTGAAAAGCCGTCGATGAAACTTTAAAGTTTTATAAAATGAGAACTTGTCACGTTTCGGATTCAAGGATGAGTTTAACCTTTCAATTAAGATTAAATATATTTTTAAAATCTATAAAATTATTAATTTTTAAAAATATTTATATATTTTATTTTTCTAATTAATATAAAATGTTTAAAATTAGTTTATATTATTATTTACATGATATTTTGTTAGTCAAATTAGCAATTATCGGAGATTGAATAATATAGAGATTGATTTTAAGAATTTACTTTTTACTAGACTAAAATAGAAAAAATCATAAAGACTCAAAGTACATATTATATAATTTTATAAAAACTAAAAGCATATTTAACTCTTCAAATCCACGTACAGATTTTCGCTGTTGAGCTAATTTACTCTTATCAGTTAAAACTTTATAATTTTTATAATAATATGATAATTTTTATAAGAATAAAATATATATTTTTTCTTCCATGAGATATAAATATTATAGTATTATTTCTTTTTATTGTAAAATATAATATTTATTTTATTTAAATTTACATTATTAAAAATATTCTTTAAAAGAATTTAAAACATTTTTTATTTAATATCTGTATATATATATATATAATATTTTTAATTTATTAATTTAATTATTTTTTATATTTATGTTTTAATTTCTTGAATCTTTCCACCTTTTTTAAGGTGTTGTACATTATTTTAATTAAAGATACTGATATTTGTAGTATTGTTTTCATTATTTGATATCAATATAAGTTTTTTAAACTTTGATAATAACAATAAGTACTTATTATTTTACGAAGTACTTTTAAAAATTTAATAATAAAAAGTATAAATTTATTAAAAGGTTATTTTAATAAAAAATCTCAAACAAAAGTTTAATGTTACTTAAATACAATATTTAAAAATTAAATTGATTTGTGTGATATATTAATTTTTTAAGGAAGTTATAATATTTTAAAATAGAATAAAGGAGAGTGGAATATATGTATATTTTAAGAGAGGAGAATGAAATTTAAGTCTTTCGATAAATGATGTAATGTTATAATTTTATGACATTTTTTTATTATCCTTCTAATATTTTATAAAAAAAAGTAAATATTAAAGATATTCTTTGTTTATAAATTAGAAAGATTATTACAAAAAACTGCTATAAGACGACTTAAAATTAATTTTGTAAATATAACAAATAATTTTTATTTGGTGACCAAAAGGCAGAACCTATTGAATGGCACTGTTCTCTCTTCTCCATCTTTCATGTGGTTTCATAAGCTTTAAAGCACCATCAATGAGGTATTAATTATGACACCATAATCAGTTCCGATGACTTATACATAGTAAATCAAATTTATAGTTTATAATACAACAATAATTCATTTATAAGGACGCGAATAGGTCTTCTTATTTAGGAGAGGCTGTACATAATCTGGTGATTTTTCAATCTTTTATTGTAAGATCACAGAACCTCACAGAACCCAATGTGGCTGAAAAAAAGAAAAAGAAAAAGAAAAAGAAAGGGTCAATATATTGAAAGTTTCTATGTCACACCAACATATCCATCATCTCATGTTTCCACCCTTTATTATTATCATGTAATGACCCTTAATCTACTCAAGCAGATTACAAGGACAAAAGCAACCATCACAATATTAGTATTAAATTGAACTACGAAAATAATTGGAACCATATTTTAATGTCAAAACAGGGGACTTTGCAGAAGGCACATACAGCCAACGGTTTATCTCCATGGGATAACCAATGTTTCCAATTTAATCAATATAATATTTGTATCATATATTATGTTGTTAAAAATAATCATATAATTGCATTTAAAATATATTTTTATCAATTTTACTTAATAAAATTTTCAAGTTTCTATTTAATAAAAATAATATTTTTGTTTAATAATTATATTATATTGCTTATCAATACGAGAGGATACAAATTTATCAATGTATATCGGAGAAAGCATCCCTCTTTTCTGCAGCAACGTTATCAGTACCCCAATAGGAACGAAGAGAAAATCATCCATTCCACCTAAAATAATATTACTCATGCATCCCCAGAAGAATAATCTCACTACTAGCGTATATCAACTAGGTATATGAAATAAAAAGAAAAAAAATAAAATAAAAGAGAGAAAGGGAGAAAAATATATTAAAAAATGACTATATAAATATGATTATCTTTACAAGTAATTTTGGAGACTAATTTGTTGAATACTCCTTTGTCCATAACAGGTAAGTGGGAAGGCAAAAAAGGTGTCCGCAAATTGACCAAATCTATGTACAAAGAAGAGAGCCATACTCTAAACAGTAGCAGCTTCGAGTAGAACAAATTGGCAATGTTAAAGCAATGCCTCAACAGAGTTTGCAACACTTTAAAAAAGGGCAATGATGAGGTGCACATGCAACAAAAGATATGTTCTAAAATTTCTAAAAATGGAAAAGAAATGAAAAGAAAACTAATCTATTTTTCTTTTCAGAATTCATAAGACATATTCTTGCATGAATACAATTAATTAAACTTGTGGGTCTGATCCCTCGTAGTGATCGACTGTTTTTTTGTTTTTTTCCTTTTATTATATAGAGAAATATAATCAAAGTAAAACAATTAAGAGAATTGCTTCTTATGGCCTGATATATCTGAAGGAAATATGTGTACAAACAATAAAAAATCTTCCCAGAAATGTATCTTTTTCATAATCATATATTTTGATCTGCTATTAAATTAAGAGAGATTATTAAATAAGAGTAAAAAAATGAGATTCACATAATTTTTATATTTTTTTAAAATAAATTTTGACTAATAACTAAGAGTGTATTGCTAATATATATATATATATATATATATATAATTTGAATACACTAATGTTGTAAAGATTTTTTTTACACTATGATGTTTTTTAATTGATTGATAGACTAACAGTGTACTAAAATTCAAATCTTATTTTATATTTTGATACACATTATGTCTTGTTAGTTAATAATGTCTTAAAGATTAAGTAATTAATAAATGTACCATCTTTATATTATCGTTATAGCTTTTATTATAATAGAAAGGAGAAAGAAAAATTTCAAATGAGTTATTTCCTTCTTTCTTTTTTTTATCACGGAAAAAGGTATTAAGAATAGTGTATAAAACATATGATGTATATAAATACCATCTCCCGTTGAAAGAGACTCACATTTGCTTTCACTTCTACGAGTGCAATTACAACAGCAAGATGTAAGTGCAATTGAATAAGATAGCAAATTTTAGGTGGGTTTTACGTGAGAAAAAAATCATTGAGAAACTCATCATTCGTGTATCTTTATCCCATTTTTAAGGGTGTACCTAACTAATCCTGACAATGATTCACTTTGTTCCCGACAGGAAAAATAGTTAAAGACGAAAGAAAAACTTGATTATTAAGGGCTAGCAAACCCAATAGTACTGCGTTGAGGTGGAGGCTTGGAAAACTACAATTTCCGTTCTCCCTCTGCAAAACCAAAAACAAGAAACAATAAACACTACCTTCTTCACATCTTGCAAGTCTAATCAATGATCCCCATCATGCATTCGATAGTCACAAAGTGCGTCAGTATTAAAATATATAATGACAAAAGTATAGAAACCAAATTATATTAAAAGTCCAACCAACAAAATTTTAAAGGAGAAAAACACAGGGATCCATCATGGATCAGGATATATAATTATAACTCTTAAAATTATTCAAAATTTAATCCAATAAAAATAGGTACATTTTCACCTCTCTCTTCTTCTTCTTTTTTTAATTCCAAACACAAATAGACAAAATTAAAGTTCTTAACTCATACACATATACATTGAGCTAATAAAACATGCTTCCCCTTCACATCCCTATGGTTCCTCATACCTACTTGAGAACTCTAAAATTTCTGCAGCTCTTTCCCCCAGTTCCAATTTTTCAAGCTAGAAAGATAACATAGAACTCCATTAGATCTTGAACCAACTACACATGATCTACAATATATATCAAACAAGGTCTAAAATTACTTCATGCAATAAAGTTTTGAAAGTGTTCCTAATTCTGACCGCAACCACATAATGATAAAAATTATGTAGAGTCCTAAGTGCTTTTAATACCATCTTCAATTAAAATTAAATATTTATATCGATAATTCACGTAACAAATATCGACATTAAAAACTCACACACGTTATTACAATAAAATTTTAATCTTAATTGGACATGAAAGTAAAACTTACATACTTGACCTAAGTCTTTTCCTACTTGAAAACCTATGAATTCAGTAAGGTGGTCTTGCATGAGCATGAGGCCAAGCAAAAGCTTCATGGCCCACTTGGCCTCCATTGGGAAGAAGATTTGGTGGGAGATTATACAAGGGCAAAGAAGAAGGATCAGGAATCCCAGGCTGTAAATGGGTCCCAGCAGCACTGCTTCCAATTCTAGAAGGAGACCCTCCCAAAGCACTTCCTCCACCATGAATGTTACCGCCGCCCCCGCCACCACCACCACCCTCATCCTCTTCATCCTCCTCAAGAGGCAACCTCTCATAAGTAGCATTAGAAAAAGTAGCAGCAATAACCATAACAGGGCCAGCAGCCACCAGAGGGCCAACAACACTCCCTCCCACAACCTGACCCTGTCCTCCAGCAAGGTACACAGTGAGTCCAGTGGCCCCTGGAGGAGCAGGTCCTGGAAGAAACGCCCCAGTTAAGGACAGAATCTCGAACCTTCCATGGAGTGCTACAACAGCTCCAGGTGCCGTAGGTTGTCGGAGAGTAACGTTGGCGACAGAGCCACTCCCACTAAGGACGCAGACGCCACGCTGGCGCCTCCTTGCGAAGTGGGCCATGCTTTCTGCCACGTCAGCTCCACCAGCTACCTCCATTACGTGGCTCCTAAGCGCGTTTGGGCTGTCCCTTGTGACAAAGATTGGGGGTTTGGGCTTGTTTTTGGATCCTGGGGGTCTCCCTCTTGGTCTTCGCGTTCCAACCTCAACTGCACCCTCTTTCGGTTCATCGCTGTTCTCTCTCTCTTCTTCTTCTTCCTCTTCTCTATTTTCGTTGTTTTCGTTTATGGAAAGGTCTATTTGGTGTTTGTTTAGGGAAGAAGGTGTAGGGTCAATCCCTACACCCAACCCCACCTGATGGCCACTCCACCAAGGATTAGCCAGGGTTGTTGTTGTTATTGTAAACAAGGAGAGTGAAGAAAAGAGTAATAATAATAAGAAGATGATGATGAAAAGGGTATTCAAATGAGATGAAAATTTGATGCAGCGAAAAAGCAGGAAGAGATAGATGATGGGTCACAAAGGGAATTTAAAAACCGGTCTCGATTTGCCTTTAATTGGTAGAACACAAGCTATGGTTGGTTGTCTGGGTTTGTTTTCTGTGAGTTTAAGGGACTTAAGGATAGTCAAACCTGGATAGGTAGTAAGAAACAAAGAAGGTCGGATCTTTTATTACTCTCATAGATGGAAAGGAAGCCTGCAAAAAGAGAGAGAAGGGAAAGGGAGAGAGAGAGAGGTGATATGGTATGGTGCTTTGAAGAAGAGGAATTAGATTCAATGACTTAAGGGAATCAAGTAAAGGATATCACGAGAGAGAGATTAATTAATTAATCAGTTTTTTTAACATGTTAACCTCACCTTTTAACACTGATTATAAGCATATGAAATTAGTTATTTTTTAAAAAAATATAATGTCTACGATACTTTTATATTTAAGTAATAAATATTGTTTTGATAAAAATTAATTATTTTTTAGTTGTTTATCTTTCTTCTTTACGATTAAAATTAATAATTTTTAATTAATCAATCAATTAAAAAGAGATGGTTTTCATTAGAAGATCAAAGATTAGGAAGGGTTGCCGAAATTCATCAACTTGTTTTCATTTATTTTTTTATCTTGGCTATTTGTATCGAGAAGTGATCTCGATGGACCAAAACATGAAACGGGTGAAAAAGCTTAACAGAATCAAGCACAATGATAAATATAGAGATCTCAGAGAAAGAGAGTTAAACAAAAGCAAAATGCTTGAAAACAGGTAATAATTATATAATAAGCAGAAATACATAGATGAACAACACGAACACATGATTCAATTTTCACTCTCGCCCCTTTTTATATTAAAAAAGGTTGTATAATGGGAGGTAGACGATTCATTAATGCAAGCTTAATGGATTCCTTTCAATGTAATTAGTTGATTGCCTTACATGAGGAGAATATATTTGTATTATTATGGCCATGAAGGATTATAATATTGAGAGAGCTCGTAATTATTGGGTTAAGAAGGGGTCCACCAAAATTGCACTTTAGTGTTGGATTGTAGCACATTCAAGTTGCTATCAATATTGAAATTTAATAAATTAGGATTAGGAACTAAGACACGTGATATTCCATGTGAAACATGGGTCCTCCAGTTGCTATGCCTCTAGGATGCTTTGAGCACTAATGGCATTGATCAAGCTTAGCGAATTAGAGGTAAAGTTTTGGAAAATTTCAATCAGTATAGAAATCTTGACTAGGATTTAAAAAAAAAAAAGTTGACTAATGCAATATTTTGTTTTCTATAGAGCTGGAAGCAAGGTTTCATCAAATCGAATAAACTAACAAACCCAATAATCTAAATTGATCTAAACCAAAAGATGATTCAAATTAATGTTTAACGGTCTGATCTGATCCAAACTAATTAAATCTGATGTAGTTTGGTTCAGATATCAGGTGACACTGTGTCAATAAATATACCCAATTAACTTGATAAATATTACTTAATAATAAATTACGTGATTCACATAGAGATTCTTGACACTTATTTTGAATTTGATTTTTTTGTTATGAATTGAAACTTATTTTGAATTTGTATATTTATGTCGAAATATTGTATAATTATGTTAAAATTATGTGTCAAAATTATTCGAATGAAAAAAAAAGACGTTTTTCTATTTTTTATACATTTTTATTTTAGATTATTTAATTCAGACAATCTGATAATCCAATCCGACCAACCCGTTCATGTTTAGTTTGGATCGGTATGAATTTTTTATTTTTTTTTCCATAAATTCGAACAAAACTAAATTAATCCATTTTGATCAGTTCAAATTATTTTTTCTTCTAAATCCAAATCAAACCGACCCATGACCTAAGAGAATTCTTTTATTAATTACAATAACGACCTAAGAAAAATAATATATAATCATTGATCATCAATTGCTCTATACTCCATGTAATATTTCGAACAAAAAACCTTGCTTAAAATTGTTGTCTTTTTGCATGCGTGTGTAAAATAAAGACACGTGACTCTTGTCGAATTTGTTGTAATTCTAGGAAATTTTGAATGATTGAGGAGCTAATCAGCATGATATATTCTATTTTTTTTATTCAGTTAAAAGTATAATTTTTTTTTTATCAGCAAACAAGAGTTTATGAGAAGTACAAGAGATATTCAAATTTTTAGTACTCTCTCCATTCTTTTTTTATCTCTTATTCTTTAAGAAAATTAATGTATTCTTATTTATCAATTACTTTTAAAGTACAAGACATCAATTATTTTTTATCAATTTATTCTTAACTTAAGATAAAAGACTAATAAATTAAAAAGAAAAAGAAATGAGTATAATAGAAAATGATCAGGTGGTAATAATTTTAATAAAAATGAAAACATTAAACCTATATATTCTAATTTCTATAAAAAAAAACTTAAACTAATAAACAAAAAATAAAAAATTACAAAATTCTTACAAAGACATTAGTAACTCTTCAATCATTAGACATGATTAATACACCATTTAGAAAAGAAAAAAGAAACTCTCCAATTTTGACATTATCGAAGCCATTACACTGACTTCATGAGTTTTTGTTTTTGGTTTTCGAGTTTCATATTTCTTTCTTTTTTATTTTTTTAATTTCGAGTTTCATATTTCATATAAGGCTACTTATACGGACTAACAAGACCTTTAAGGTAATTTTCTTCAAAGACATATAATTGTGTAAATTACCTGCCAATAGAAACAGATAGTAGCTCTTAGTCCCTTCTTAATCAATGTTTACATTTCTTCATGAAATCCCTTTTGAATAAATTCAATAACAGGTTTTACATATCAAGAAAGTTCTCCAACTTATCAATTTTGATTGGACCCTCTAAATTGAAACTGAATTTGATTTTGTGTTTCAGCTTTAGTAAGAATTTTTGTATTTTCCTTTTCGGATCTAAAACGCTTGTTGTTTGTTTGAATTTTTTAATGTCAATTTTCAAGTGATTAAGTTTATATATCGGATCCTGTTCGGTCAGCATTTGATCCAACCATATCCTGCAAAACCTCAATCATTAGATTGATCACTGTATATTATAATAATAATAATAATAAATGATAAAAAAAAATTAATCATCAAGAGTAGGAATGTACATGAAACTGGGTGAAATAGTTTTTTCTTGTTCTTACCTGACCCAAAATTTTATTAATATCATTTTTACAAATTCAAACATGATATAATCAAAACCTAATAAAATGTGAGACACGATCAGATCAACCTAATTTATTAACAAAATATATTAATATTAAAATTAATGTATATCTTGTTAATATTAATATTAACAAAATATAGCTCAAACTCATTCTCAAAATATATAAGATTTAATTTTTATAACTTAAATCCACTAAAATTAATCATGGGCCATGGTAAATTAATTTGGGAGACAGATCATGTCATAAACACTTTAAATATTCTCAAATTTTGTTAATTAAAAATATTAAGCAACTGTTGAATTTCGTTTTAAATGTAGAAATAGGTAATTGATAAATGAACATATAATCAATCAAAATCCAGAAATAGTTATTAGTTGGCTCAAAGGTAGGATGGAAGCTGTTAATTTAACTTCACAGAATAGAATAGGATCCATGTTCAAGAAATAGTAATAAAAAGGAAAGCTATTATAGAACTGATTTTTTTATAAATAGATCATAAGTTTATACGTATTCACATATAGAGGATTTGTATCTCCAAAATTAATTAATAGTCCATCATCACAAAAATTAGAATAGCAAGTTGCAAGTGACAAAGCACAAGTCGGGAGACATACGTACATAGAATGTCATCATAGTAAAGCTCTTGTTTTTCTAGGTTTCATCTTCGACAGTTGAAAGAGGGAAAAGGTATATCGAAGATGCTTCTTCAAGTTTCTTGTCTTGAAAGATTATGGCAGGTTTGTGGACGGGGTGAATTGAATAATTAATGATAGTATTTTTACATTATTATCATTTTATTTATAGTTTTTTTAATTTTTTTTACACTATTTATTACATTTTTACTTTCTGTTTCTCCTTCTTCTTCTTCTTTTTTTCATACTTTCCTAAAAGGAGTGTGAAAATAGTTCACCTATATTTATTTTTCCCACGTCACTTCATTATTTTGTCGTCATGTGTACTAATTTATTCTTTACCATTGTGTTGTGCTCTAGCTTTCGAACAAAACAAGTTACTGTAATGGTATTCTTTGGCCATTTTCTATATTGTAATCCTAATACCGAGATGTGCAGCAAATGGAGCAATTCCGCTACAGTTGAGGATCTATACCTCAAAAGGTGTTTATAAAGTTATTATAAATGAACGTATTTTTTAGCTTGAAGAAAACTACACTTAATTATCCCATGATTCTAATTAGTTTTATTTCAACGATATACAACTAGAAAACATAAATTTGTGATTAAGAATAGCCGGTTGTTAAAGCTCTAATCACTAACAATGAAAGCGCCTAATAATCATTTTCATCGATATCACTAATTTTTACTGAAAATTAAACTCGGTCGTAAAAAGTTGTTCCAAGTGAACGTTGAGTCAATTGTTAATCTAGTGCATATATATTTAGATTTACAAATTCATATTTATTTTAATATTAATTTTTGTGCTAAATTTACGTTTAGACATTCTTGTAGTCTGTGTCAATAACAAAGTAACACTTGAAAAGCATTTTGAACTCATATAGTATGCACTAATTTCAATTTGGAACAAATTAACACCAGATGAAACTTTGGCTCCACACGAGAATTATACTGATACGAATCTGCAATGAAAGCCTAATTTTTAATTATTTTTTATTATGTTTAAATTAAAATTAAAATTTTGATTCGATAGCTTACCTAATTTAAATTAGTATTCATGGCGGGCGTTGATTGAAAAAAATTATTGAATTA